CAGGCCTGCGGCGCCTCACTTTGGCTGCAGCGATTCAGAGTTGGCTCTCCGGCCTGTCCCGTGGGGCCAACAACTCCAGAGATCTCTTTTGCTTTAATTAAAAAAAAAAAGAGAGACACTTGACCCCCCCACCCCCACCCTCCGGCTCAGCCGCTTCCATTGTGTTCTTGGTCACTTGGTCCCCGACACGGGGTGTCCTTCCCCTCTGTGCTGGCCCCTCTCCCGCTAGGGGTCGCCACTGCCTGTGCGGCCGTGCCGTGGGGCCTGGGTGCGGCCGGTGCCCCTGAGGCCAGGAGAGGCCGCGGAGGCCTGGCCCTGCCCCCCCCCCCCCCCCCCCCCTGGGCAGGCTGCTGAGTCTCCCAGGCCCGCTGGGGGAGCCTGACTGACAGGTCTGCTGCCCTCGGAGTCAGGAGCTCTTGCTTTTTTGAAGGCCACTCACATCCGTTTCGGGGAGGAGGTGAAGGCCGAGGTGAGGCCCGGCCTCTTATTGGTGGCCTCACCTCCCACCCCTCAGCAACTCTGCTGCGACCTCCCTCCCTCCCTCCCGTTCGAAAACAGCTCTGAGGGGCCTTAAACAGGTGTGGGCACAAATCACTGTACCTTCCCCCCCAAAGCCTGGGGTGGGATCCTCCATGCTGGCAGGGAAACGGGGCCTCCCGCTGCGCACATCCTGGGTTGGGTGGGGAAGGCTGGGGTCCTCCCCGCTTCAGTGTTGCGCAAGCCCGTGGTTACTGCAGCCAGGCTGCCAAGAGGGTGGGCTCGAGCACTTGCCAGAGCAGACTGCCCACAGAATGCCAACGTGCCCCGCGGTCCCAGCACCCCCACCCCCCCCATAGGGGCCCCGAAGACCTAGAGTAGCTGCGCACTGAATGTGCATGGAAAACAAATTTCCTGCTCCTAAGGAGCCCCCCAAGTCCCTGTACTGAACTGACCTGAATCCCACATCAGTGTCCCCGACAGCTCTTCCTCCGGCAGGTGAGGTGGTGGGTAGAACTAGTGGGTCGCAAGCGCGCCCGGGCGGGTGGCTACGTGACTTGTCCTGGGTTCACGCGGTAAATCAGGTAAATGAGGTGCACACGGGCCCAGCCCCAGCCGCCCCCACCGCCCCAACCCAGCGGCCCCGGCCTGCTTCCGGGCCCGAGGTCACCTCCTCGTGCCACAAAACAGTCCCGTGACAACATAACAGAGGTTACACTTTTATTTAACATTTAGAGGATTAACATATAGTTACAAGGTCAATATAAGCCTTCCAATGGAAGCACGGTATTTGGTTTAATTCCATCTCCAGAGACAAATGGGCAATTCCAGAACCTTCACAATGGCAGGGGCCGTTACAACACTGAAATGCCTCCAAAGTTTAGAATTAGTGCCACACACACAAAGAAACCAAAACGTTTAAAGGTGCTCAACATCAGGTTAAAATAGAATTTTGGATCACTCTTTAAAGAAGTGTTTTGACGGCACCAGTGTGGGGAGGCAGAGGTATGAGGAAGTATGAAACTAAGATTTCTGGAAAAATACTTAGCATCCATGTCACTTTTTCACGTTCCATAAACTCTCTCCTGTAATTACAGATGTCACCAGAAGCCCTGAGGGGGGGCCTCTGTGCTGCGAGATAAGCTACAGCTTATCTGGCCTGAGCCTCACAGCCTGGAAGCTTCTGAGGTGAGCGCGCTAAAAACCCGAAGGAAAATCCCACGACGGCTTTCCATGCCTTTTTTATCTTGCAAAGGAAAAACTGGATGAATGACAAGTTCCTCTCTTTCCAGCAGAAAAACGTTTTTAGGTCATGTTCAGGGCAGGTGCTTTAAAACTTAGTCATTCTTACAACAACACTACTCTAGCATCGGTGGAGAAAGGACAGGCGTCGGGGGGCGAACGGGTGGCCGAGAAGCAGATGGGGAAGTTCCCCTACTCTATGGGAACTGGTCCATACTCCTATAGAGATGATTTCCCAGGAGGATCCCCAGAATAAAGGATACACCTCAACTACCCTCTAATGACTTATCTCCTTGAATGAGCTCAGGTTTGCAGCGCTCCCCTCCCCCCACAGCCGCACAGACCCACCGGGGGCAGGGGGGGGCGGGGTACGACACCAAGGCTAACACGGAGAAGCACTTAGGATCCATTCCTTTCTGGACGCAGGTGGTTCAGAAAGGAATAAAAAAAAAAAAAGGTGCAGGGGCTACAAGATACGAGCATATTCTCTATTGGGCTTAACAGACACTAAAAGAACAAACCACTGCAGCTTATACCATTTTCCCTACATTGTGAGAACTGAATCTATCCTGACCCCAGAATATGAAAGATGCAATGCACATGCATTACTGAGGCTCTAAAATCGATTTAAAAAAACCATTTAGCATCCTTGTGGAGAGCAGTCAGCTTGGCTTGGTGAGATTCAGAAGTTCCTAGAGATTCCTGACCCCCCCATCCCCCCCCCCCCCCCGGGGCTGGCGGAGGAGCCTCCGCGGAGCTGCTGCAACGACGGGCGGGGCCAAACCACACACCTGCAGGTTTGCAGGGACTCGGGCGAGGCCCGGCCCCCCTGGCCCCAGGGCATCCGGCAAGCAGCCCTCTCACAAGGTGGAGGAGCTCCCCACCGCTGTGGGCAACGGGGGCCCACTGCCAACAGAGCAGCCCCGAGACCCCCACGGCCTCAGCCATCCCGCCAGATAGGCAGGTAGTCTTCAACCGAAGGGCCTGGCCCCCTTCAGGGCAAGAGAGAGACAGAGACAGAGACAGAGACAGAGAGACAGAAGGGGGGGCGGCTCACGCTCGCTTGCTTGCTCGCCTTTAAACCCAAAGCCACTTCCTCTTCACTTGCTTACCCCGGGGCATGTGCTCGCGGGAGGTTTCTCTCGGAAGGGGGGGTGTGGTCGAGCTCAACCCTGGCTTCTGAGAGGAACCGTTTCGGCCACTGAACACAGGCCCAGCCCTTAGCACCTCTCCTTTCTGCCTCTTGTCCCTTCGGCTCCCATAAGACACCCTCGTCTTAGATTCGTAAAGGTCGAGAAGAATTGAGGATGTCCGAGGTGACCACCTAGTTACCAACAGCCAAACGAGAGAGCACAGAGGCCCGAGTTCCTTCTTGGGCTTTGGATGGTGTCTCGTTCACAGAAACTCGCAGCCAGTGACTCCTCCCGACCGGGTCTGCACCAGAGAAGGGAAGCTAGGCTGCTCTAAGGCATGACTGGCCACGGGCTACACGGCCTCACATTTTCCTCAAGGATCCGCAAGAGGAAGGGGACTTCGCTCAAAAAGTCAACTCCCTCCAGTCTCCGTGGCCCACGGAGCCCGTGAGAACATGCGGAAGCTGTGGCCACAGGACCACCTGAAGGACCGCCGGCCTCACAGGGTTTTTGGTGAGGAAAGCGCTAGAATCCGAAGATGTGAATCTCAGGAATTCACGGGAAAACGGGAATTGTCACTTTGCAAGGAGCTAGGGCCGAGGTGAGACGCTCGCTCAAGCGCCATGGCCCGCAGGGCGATGGCAGGGAGGTGGGCTGGGACCTTCCCTCACCCGTGAAAGGTGGACGCTTCTGCGTGTGGCCCTGGAGATGGAATTTGACTTCCAGTGTAGACCTTTCCAGGCCACGGAGCACAGGCTCCCAATCGAAACGCGTGCGCGCGCACTCAGGGATGCATGCATGCGTGTGCGTGCCTGCGTGTCCCCCAGCGCCCCCCACGGACACTGTCAGGCCAGGAAATGTTGCAAGGGCCGATGTTTAGTATGAGGTGAGGACCCCTAACCAGAAAAGGACCACCGAAGAGTCAACGGACTCGGGACGCGGGAACCCATCCATGACATCCGGGCGCTCGCTCGGTCCGCCTGGTGCACGCCTGACCCTCCTTGTCCAGATTCTGTCCATCTCCCCCGGGGGAGACCAGTGGCGAAGTTTTCACGAAAGGCACAGTGTGAACCATGGACGGGCCAGGACGCGCCAGGCCGACTGAGGGCCAAGGCAGGGGCCCGGGAAGGAGGGAGCACGTGTCTAGCTGCCTTCCGTGGCCCCGGGTGGGGTGGGGGTGCGGGACAGGGACAGAACTGCCCCCAGAGAGGTGGCCGGACGGGCCGTGGGGGGAGCAGGGCCATGAGAAGCATGCTGTGGGAAGAAAAGAAAGAAAAAGGCAAGCAGCCGCGTGGCGGGTCGGGGGGATGCGGCTTCAGGCTGAGATGTCGTCGGAGGGCCGCGCGCCGGCCCAGCCCGGGAGCCGTCTGTGCGCGCGGGCGCCCGGGGCCTGCGGAGACAAGCAGACCGAAGGGGTTCTCCTGGGAAGGCTCACTGAGGCTCCGGCTCCTGCAACCGCCTCTAGGAATCTACAACACAAAAAGACAGAGAAAGAGTGTTTAGAGGGAGGCCGGTGGTCCGGGGCGGACAGTCTGCTCCGTAGACTGCGCCGCCCGGGAGGGGGACAGCTTTAGAGCAGTGGGGTGTTACCACGGGGCACGTCTGAGATAAGGAACTTTCACGGTTGCAGGTCGCCTCAGGGGCTAGCCTTCCCTGAAGGGAAGAGAGGCCCACACGGAAGACCCGCGCCCATCCACCCCCAGCCCCTCTTTCTGGGTCCGCCGAGTTTCGGCGGAAAGAAACGTGACCCGCTTCCCAGGAGGATGCAAGGAATTTCAAGGCCCGATCCTCTCTCCCTGACCGACACTCTCGGTGCTTTACCAAAAAAAAAAAAAGTAAAATCTTGGCGAAAAGGAAAAACGTGTCACTCAGCGTCTACTCAGCAATCAACAGTGAAAGTTCTTCATCTGGAGGGGGTAGGAGAGGAAGGAGAGACAGACTCGTAAAGCCCTCAGGTGCACACAGGGCGAGAGACAGAGAAGGTGTCATCATTTAAAAGGCGGGGGGGGGGGGGGGGAGGAGGGCAGAATTTTAAAAAAGCATTTGGCTGGAAAAGTTGCCCATGACTGAAGACAAAAGAGTTAAATACCCGGATTACACAGAATCATTTTCTCGGAAAGGTGAAAAATCATTTAAAATACACAACACTGAGAAAAATACGTTTATTAGAGAGGCAGATATGAGGGTACAACTTAAGAGGAGCCAGACAGGTTCTTTCCTTTCAGGGTGAGAAGAGAGAGGCAATCGTGTTGGCCGTACTGGAACAAAACTTACTCAGAACACAAGTGTCTACAATAAACGCAAGTCTGGAGTGGCCGGCAGGGGACCTAGTCCTTCCGGCTTCCCCAGCGGGTACAAAAACAAAAACGGTCATTAGGCAGCAGAAGCACCAATAAAACAAACAGACAAAAGAGTCAAACGTTAAAACAACGAATTCAAGTCAACCTTTTAGTTTCCAAATGGCAGTATATACAAATAGATGGGGGTGGGGGGATTACGGACATATTTAACAGAAAGCAATTTAAAAAACCAAACTGAACCATAAAAGAAGACAGTCACAATCCAACCGACCCACTGGACGTTCCTCTAGTCTAAATATTTTGGCAATTATTAAATAGTCACATTGTAGCTGACAACACACACACACACACACACACACACACACACACACACATGTGCACGGGCACAGAACAGCTGTTTGAGTTCCCCACGGGCTGGGAGGGGTTGGGGGGGCAGTGTTCTTGGGGGTGCCGAGCAGATTGAGAAACCAGGTGGGGAAGACAGGCTTCGACGCATACACGAGTAACCTCTAAATGTGTCTCTAAAATAAAAGGAGAAAACTTCACCCGCAAGCCGAGACTTGGGTTCTTTCATTTTAGCAGATAACCAGGGGTGGGGGGAGGGTAGCAAAAACCAGAGTATACTCTGGGCAGAAGTGGGAATTCTGATTCTTTGGGAATGGTTTCAGGACTTCTCCTAACACTCGGTGCACTGACCGGCGGGCACCAAGGCACACTTGTTCTGTCCTTCCTCCGCAGCTGCCTGTGCTAAGGGCCTGAGGCACACAATTTAAAATCATGAGCATTCAATTACACGCCCAAACCCACACACGCCCCCCCCGCCCCCCATAAACCAACTGAGCCATTTTCTGAATCAAATTTGCACAACCGTTAAGAAAAAAACAAAAAAACCAAAAACCTAAATAAACCCACAATAACGTCATGGAATGCCATACTTTCCAAGGGAGGCTTCCAGAGGCTCACGTTGTCTCGGCCATTTTAAGACTTTTTCAGTGTTTGGTTTGCTTCCTGTAGCTGTTCACAGGCTGGAAATGAGTCCCATCATCGGACAGAAAGCTCTGATTTTAATATCTGAGGTCCCCCGTTCGCCTGGGTCCATGCCTAGTGCTGTAACCTCCCCTAGCTCGTGAAGAGGAATCCCTGTGGTTTCAGGGTCAGCCGAGTTACTTGCGGTAAATATTTAAAAAGGGGAACAGAAATGATTTTCCTGAGAGGTCTGGGGTCCAGGGTGAATGGCTTTATCGATATTACATCAGCAAAGGTAGAACAAGGCAAAATAATTCTGAATCACAAAATATTTTAAAAAGCGGGCAGACCGACGTCAGTTTCCTGCTTTGGGCATTATTCTACCATTTACGTCCGAAGTCACCCCTGGGGGGACACCGGCTGAAGCGTACACGGGATGGCTCTGGACTGTCTTTACAGCCTCCTGGCAATCTATCATTTAACAATAAAACGTGTTTTAAAAATCAGGCTGTCATTAGCGTTTACTAAATTCCATTTTGGTGGTCCTTGGGGAGTGTAGCAAACTTTCTGCTAGATTCTACAACAAGCACCTGTAACTCCGGCCAGGTGCCACACCCCGATGATAAGCAGCTGTTGATTTTTAAATCGGCTTTTTTTTTTTTTTGGTAGAATCAGCTTTAAATCGACTTGAGCTTATAAAAGGAGCTCACGATGTAAAAGCAAGGAGCTAATTTCCTATGTAAAAGTAGGAAGGACATGAATAAATAATTCTCAAAGCCAAATAAAAAGTAAATTGGAACTTGACACCTTTATTGTGAGCCATTCATAGCTGGTTCTCCATGACCTCAGGGTAGATTCTTGAAATGGGCACACACATTGGGCTGGGTACCCATCTCTACGCATGTGATCGATTTCACTACCTATGTTGCCAGTTTAAAAATGCAAAACCCCATGTGACCCAGATCCCTTTCAAGATGGTGAAATACTTTAGTCTGGCTATAGTTCATTATATAAAACGAGCTAGCAATTCTAAAACGATTTTCAGTAAATTCATATTTTGGGTCTTAAAAGATGTCAAGGATTAAGAAAAACAAAACAAAACCAAAAACCCAAAACACCTCCGCGAAGTGAGGAGCTGGGGGGGCGGGGGTCTGCGTGTAGAAGCAGCTGCTGCTATTTATAGCCCCACGTGGGGAAGTGTGAGCTGAAAACAGCTCCACTTGCCACAAAACCTCCAAAAGAAGCATACTGTTTTTTGTAAGTGATCGAAACAGCGCCAGGGCATCTGATGGACTCTGTCAGTGGCAGCGGGGAGCCCAGTGGCAGCGGGGAGCTCAGTGGTCTCCTGTAAAAGTCAACTGGTTAATTGTTAACCAAGCTTTTCCAGATTTCAGTGGGTTGTCTGGGATCATGCACAGGGGAGAGGATACTCACGGTGATCTACCAATGATCTTAAACACGTTTAAGGAAAAATACACACGTTTAGCACCAACATAGGCCGCGTCTTACTCTTTTCTCAAGGAGGGGGAGGTTTTATTTATGACTTCCTCCAAAGCAAGTGATTGTAAGATTACACAAACTAGCATAGTTCAAGTTATTAAGTTACAAAATGTAACACTCTAAGGGGGTTCCATTTACCGCAGTTGCTAGATAGAAACAGAACTGAAGTCCTACCCGCCCCTCTGACGTGTGTGGACTTTTAAATTCAGAAATAGCGATTAGAAGCTAGAAGGCAACTTTTTTTTTTTTTTTTTGGATACCTACAGATACTGCCAGAAGAACTGTTTATCCGATTTCAAATGACAGAATTGTAAATTGGCAGTTGGCAGCTTTCCGCGTCATATTTCATGAGCAAGTGAAATGTGATTATAGTCAAAACTAGCCAAGGGAATTCGGGTGTCGAACGCCTACAAGCCCACCGCGTGGCCATGTGACAACACGCACTCCAGTGTCCTCCAGCCACGCTTTGGAAGAACCGCTGGGTACAGTCATAGTTGTGGGGAGAGACAACTCCAATTTTTTTTTTTTTACAGTTTTTTTTTTTAAGTTGTATTAAATATAAGTCTTAGCACCTTTGGCATTTTTGTCCAAATAGACTTCGACGTACGAAGTGGGGACATAACCCTCTTCATCTTCATTTCTCCGAATGCGGGTCCACCCGTCGCCTTTGTCTTCCTCGATCACGTACAGAGTTTCTCCTTCAACCACGGAGATGGTCCCTTCATTCTGACCTGGAGAAGCAAGATCAGAACGAGTCAGCTTCCCGTCACATCCAGGAGGAGCGCAAACAGGGGGCTTGGCAATGAAAGAGGCTCAGCGGGCGAGCAACAGATGCACTGGACCCCTCCCCGGTTGCCCTGCAAGGGCTGCTCCCACCACGCAGAAGCTTCCAGCACCCCCCCCCCCCCACTGCGGCTCTCCGGGACCCTTCTCCAGCTACTCCAGAGCCAGGGGCTTCCCCAGGGGACGTCTCTGCCCTTCCTCTGTCTCTTAATGACACCTTTTCGGACACTATCCCCACTTCTCTCTCTCTCTCCCATCCCGGTTCTTGCCGGTAGCTAAGCTTCCCCTTCTTGGGCCCGAAACACGTGTCCATTTCCAACGTCGGCCCTGGCTCCTAAACCTGGCCTCGCTGTGTCTCTTCCCAAACGACACCTTTCTCCTACCTTTCCACTTCAGGGCGGCCCCAGGGGGGCACCTTCAGGAATCTGCTCCCTTTCCTCCGGTCTTTGTTCCCCGTTTCCGGTCAGCCAGGGGTCTGAGCGGTTTGCTGACTGCGACCTCTCTGGGCCCACTCTTTAATAACGGGGGTCCCCAAGACCACTTGCTAAGATAACTGCCCGAGACTAGCGCCCCACTGCTCACACAGAATTCTCAAGAGCAGACTGTCCGGGGAGCTGCTTACAGGGGGGCCGTGGGGGTGGGGCCGGGGCGTGGGAATGAGGTTAAGTTGGCGACGTCGAACCTGGTGCTTTCTTGTCCCACTGAACATGTGGGCTGTCGTGAGGAGATCTGGAAGATCCATCGGTCCCAGAGCTTCCTAAACCTACCTGAGCTCGGACTGCTTCTTCCACAGCACCCTTAGTATCTTTCTAGGGGACATCGTTCTGGCAACTCTAGGCGAGTCTTTCGAGCCCTTCATCCCTGTCCTCCGATGGGTCCCACACATGTGCCAGTACGTGTCCTAAGGTCTAGCTCTGCTCAAATGCTTTCAACAGCTCAACTGGGGCCCCCCCAACTCCAAACGATTCTTACCCACCTCCCCCCTCAAGGACACCATTCCTAGTCTCAGATTCCACTACTCCCACCTAAGACATCTAAGCTCCAGCCACACGAGCCCATGCTTCTCTCACCTCCCTGCCTCAGATGCAGAGCAGCCTGGAGAGTTCCCTGAATTAATTCTCTTAAGGAAGGGAGCTCGCAGTCCCATGAACCGCCATCGCTCTGTACCCCGCCTCTGGTAAGTGCTGTCAGCTGACCTCCCCCAAATGTGTGTCTGCTCTCCAGGGGCGGATGCCACGCCGACCCACCCGCATCCCACCCCTCTGGGGGCTTTACAAGACAGGAGCTCCCAGAAATACTGGACGAACGGATGAAATCATCATTATTCCACGCTATCTGCTGTAAGTAGGCCACACGAAAACTGTTCCATTGTACGGACCAACAGGCAAAACGTGCAGCCATGAACCAAATGATGGTGATGACGACGGTGAGCAGAACGATAGGGTAAGACAAGAGAGAAAGATCTGGAAGAAGGTCCAATCACAGCAGGAGAAGGGACAGCGTGCGCAAGTGGGGAACCGGGCGGACGCGGGTCACCTTCGAATGTGTAGAGGGCTTTGCAGGTCCCGATGGCGGGCAGGGGCTCCTCCTCATCAAACTCGTCATCGAAGTCCGTGGCCAGCACCTTCCCCTCACCCTCCTGACTCTGCTCCTCCGTGTAACTGCCATCCGGGCTGCTCAAGAAAGGAAACCACACAGCAACTATAGCGACTGCCCGGCGACGCGCTTGCACCGGCGCCACCCCGGCTGCTGTCACCAAGGCCATCGCAGGTCACCCGTGTGCTCCGTCGCCGCCCCACACGGCACTAGGGACCCGCGTGGTGGGGAAAGGGCAGGTCAGGCATCTTGGGCTCTTGGGTACGGAGCAAGTGCCTCGCGCTCGTCTCCAGCCTCCAGAATCGGGACACGAACACAAAGCAAACCTGCTCCCCTCCAGACAGCAGGCGTGGTACAGATACTGTACCTCTCGCGGTCCTGGGCACAGTTGTTGACCGTGGCTGGGTTCTGGGCGTCGAACATTCCACTCTGCCGGCGGGCCTGCTCGCTGCGTGCCGGCAGCCTGCCTTCCACCTCCGCCAGCCAGGCCTGCAAGCAAAAGCCACCAAAGACGCTGCTCTGAGCTCAGCTGAGGGCCCAGCCAGGGAGTCTTAAAGGCCCCAAATTCGGGGGGCTCAATGGTCATTGAAGCTGAGACTCGAGAAGGACCACACCGGCGGGGGGGGTCTCTAGTGTCTCTGCATTCGGCTGTATAAGGCACCCACAGGCAACTGCTCCTAGTACATCTCACGTTGGAGAAGTAGAAGCAAACGTGTTTAGGCAACTGTCACAATGGGGCAGAAAGAGCACTGGACTGTGTTAGACTCTTGGGCTTTTTTTAACTTTTTTTTTTTTTTTTAAAGTAGGCTCCATGCCCAGCGTGGAGCCCAAGGCAGAGCCTGAACTCACAACCATGAGATCAAGCCCTGAGGTGAGATCAAGCATCAGATGCTTAACCGACTGAGCCACCCAGGTGCCCCTCTACTCTTGGGCTTTTTAAAACAGCGGTGTGATTTCAGTTAAGTCGCTTCTAGTTTCTTCTGGTTCCAAAATTCTGTGACCGTGAGGTCCCACTGGAGAAGAGGAGACTCCTGCTGCACATAAGCTCAGTGTGAAAGCTACACTCACCTTTTCTTGTTTTGAGGACTGTGTCACTCTTTTTAATGGTAAAGAAACGTATATACAGGAAATCAAATAAGATAAAAGATAAAATTATCTTGGGCAACATTGGAAATAGCGTAAAAAAGGCCAAAGGATAACAATGACCAGGAAAGAACATTTCTAGGTTCTAAACCCTCCAACAGCAGTAACTGACTGACGGATTCTAGGAAGAATTTTAAAAAGCCATATCTGACCCTTTGTTGCTAGAAGTAACCAATTCCGACCGGAGCAATCAGTCACTGATATATTTTTCCATGTTCTGTAGCCTCGAAATTTGTGGGTAAAAGAAGCCTTTTGGGGGCGCCTGGGTGGCTCCGTCGGTTAAGCGTCTGCCTTCGGCTCGGGTCATGATCCCAGGGTCCTGGGATCGAGCCCCGCATCGGGCTCCCTGCTCAGTGGAAAGCCTGCTTCTCCCTCTCCCACTCCCCCTGCTTGTGTTCCCTCTCTCGCTGTGTCTCTATCTGTCAAATAAATAAATCTTAAAAACAAAAAAGAATTAAAAATCCAGTGAAAAATGGTAAAAAAAAAAAAGACGCCTTTTGTCCATAGCTCTCGAGTGCTTCTCTCTCCCTCCTTAAAACATTTATTTATCTTTCCTACTCATTTCTAATTTGTGTCTCTCAGCAGTTGTCAGCTCTCTGACCCTTTGATGATGGGTCCTTTGTAAGAACCATAACGTATTTGACTTGATTTTTTTTCACTTCTGGATTCACAATGGCACACTCGCAGCTGTATCGATTATCAACAGGCGCTGGAACAGGACCGACTAAGCGAAGCACTTAAACCAAAGAACAACGCATCCAAATACAACTGTGCATGTCGGTTTGAGGGGACATCCTGGGCAGAGGGCAGCCGAGGGGCAGAACCGCCGGTGGGTGACCACTTTTCCTTTTATCACAGCTTGCCAAGCCCCCCCGACACCCTCCAGCCGCATCTCTTGCAGAATCGCTGGTGCTCTACAGCATCCCCAGCCCTTCCTCGGTTTCTTTTTTTTCCATCAGAACTTTTCACCACCCACAGCGTTTTCATACCTCAAATTTCTGGGATTCTAGCCGCAGTTTTTCTATATTTTGGCTGACTTCGGTTAATTTGTGATCCAAACTGGCTGGGTCTCCCATCTGAGGATTCTTCAGGTAAACATCTTTCATTTTTGTTATGGCATCTCTGAAAAAAAAAAGAGAGAAGAGGACACTGTAAAGGTGACTGTCGCCCGCCAAGTGTATTCTCGCGCCACCTCGCACGCCGTGTGAATGGGAGCACGGGAAGACAGTGTCACCACGTGGGTTCGAAGGGAGTTTCGGGGCCGGCTTTCATCCTAAAACTCCATAAGAATTCTGCTCCCGAGGTCTGTATAGTCCAGAGATGGATATGAAAACTTCGGCTGCCTTTTCTGAATGGTATCTGGTTCCTCCCACTGCCCTCAGCAACTGAGAAACATGAATCACTCCTGTTCTTCCCTTTGTGCCAAACAACAACAAAAACAAACAAAGCCCAAATATCCAGACGCACATTTTTCGTGCAAACTGAAGCTCCAGCTGGCATCCTGGTCTTGTGGGCTACCATGAGTTCCCCTCACAGAGAAGCACAGTTAACTGCTTTGGAAGTTTTATTACACACTCTTTCAACTATTAAGAAACCAAACCCACAGTTGGTGTCCGCGACAGGCAGGTACCTGAGTCTCAAAGCTACATATCACAAGATCCCACACCCTTCCTGAAATCGTGTTGGCGGCCCACACATAGCAACCTGAGTAAATGAATCCCCACAGGAGCGTTGCAGCCAAGCTTGGGGCTATCTCTGGGACCGAAGAGCTCTATTAATTCTGAATTCTGGTTCTGAGAGACTTTCAGTAGGGTTCGAGGTGTTAAAAGTTTACAGCAAATGACTCTGCAGGTGGTAAGGGGCCAATTTTAATGAGCATCAGTAAAAGGCAGCCTCAACCTGTTACACAACATAAGACCAATGAACCAAACCCTATTCTGAGTCACGGCAAATAGTTTAACTGAAAATACAGAAATAACAGAAAGCGAATTTCCACAAGTCCTCACCAGGCCTGGGCCCACCCCCTCGCATCTGAGCCCTTGTGAGCCTTTCCGACCTGCTGCTCCTTTGTGGGTACTGACTGTTCACGTTTCCCGAGGTCCCATCTCCACTACAGCCCTCCCTCCACCTGCACTCCCCGCGCCCCCTGACTTTTCTCCACTTCCTTCTTTCCCACAGTGGGTATCACTTTCCAACATTATATAATTTATTATGCTTATTATTGTTTATTGTCGGTCTCTTCCTACTAGAATGGAAGCTCTCCGAGGAAGCTCTATGGGCTCAAGCTCTTTTGTTAACTTGGTATCTCCCCAGTGGCGGGACACTACGTGGCACGCAGTAGATGCTCAGTAAGTACCTGAGATGACTAAATGCTCTCACTACAAACAAACGGTAGTGTCTACCTTTACCAAATCCCTCTCCTGACTTTATGGCCATACCTCGAGCTACTGTCCCGCCTCTCTGCAAAACTTCTCGAAAGACTCGTCGAGATTCATTACCTTTGATTCTCCTCCTCCTGTCTCCCCTGGTAGGTCTCTCCAGAAGTTTAATTTTATTCATCTTTTCAAGGAACCAACTTTTGGATTTGTTGATCCTCTTTGTTGAGTGCATATGTTTTTCTATGTCACTGATTTACACTCTTTTCTTGCTTCTGTTTTCTTTGGTTCAATTTGCTGTGCTTTTTCTAACTTCTTGAGATGGACACTTAGCTCACTGATGTTTAGTGTTTGCTGTCTTTAACACATATGGAAAGCTATATCGTTCCCTTTATGAGCGTTGTCTTAGTGACAGCCCAGTAACTGATGTACAGAATAGGGGTTCAGGTTTAGCTCTGCTCCGGTATCTTCCAATGTCTCTTTTTTCCCCTCTTTATTGTGCTTTCAGTGTGTTTCTTTTTCTTTCTTTTTTCTTTTTTTAAACATATAATGTATTATTTGTTTCAGGGGTACAGGTATGTGTTTCCAATGTCTCTTATGATTTCTTCTTTAGTCTTTGAGTTATCTAGAGCTACATTTCTTAATTTCTAAATGTTTGTTATTGGTACCCAGCTTTACTGCAGGCTTCAGAGAACACACCTTGAATGGTGTCTACCCTTGGATGTTTGTTGAGATTTGCTTTGTGAAAACAGGATATGCTCAATTGTTGGAAATGCTCTGTGTGTGCTTGAAAAGAATGTGCACCATGCAATGATTGGATAGACATGTCTGAGGTCGATTTTGTCAATTATATTACTTAAATATTCTACCCTGAATCTGTTGTTTTACTAGTTATTCAGAGAAGTGCATTAAACATCTTCCTCAACAGCGATGTGTTTGTATTTCTTGTACATACTCATGTCAAAGGGTTAATAGCATAACCTTTTTTTATGTTTTGGGGTCAGACGGTCCTACAGCTTTAAACTGGGCTGTTTGTTACTCAAAGCATTTAATGTTATGAAGTTGACGTTCTTGAACTTAATAGTTTGAGGGTTTTTTTGGCCTGAAAGTCAGTCTTCCTCTGGCTGGCACTGGCCAACCAGTGGATGGTGTATCTTTTTCCATTCCTTTATTTTCAATCTTTCCATACCTTATGAGGTATGTTTTTTTTATACCTTATGAGTTAGATGTGCCTTTTGTAGGTAGCATACAGGTGGATTTTGGGTTGTTTTTCAGTCTGAAAATCTAATTGGGACATGTAGTCTGTTGACACTGAACATACTCATTTTATTTTATAGACACTATGTGCCAGGCATTGGTCCAAGCACCTCCCATACACTGACACATTTAATCCTCACTATTGACTTCCTTTTCAAGATGAGGAAACCGAGGTTAGGTTAAAAGGTTAAGATCAAGAAGAGGTTAAGAAGCTTATCCAAAGTCTGCAACAGAAATAGGCGGAACCAGGTTTGAACCCAGGGTATATTAATTTATTTTTAAGTTTTATTTATTTAAGTCATCTCTGTGTGCCATGTGGGGCTAAAACCCACAACCTGGAGATCAAGAGTCATACACTCCTCTGACTGAGCCAGCCGGGCACCCCTGAACCCCAGGGTGTTTTAAATCTGCCCTCATACTTTGTGCTTTTGATTCATCCCGCCTTGTCCCTCTTGTACAAAATGTAAGTTGCATGAGAACAGAGGTTTTCATGTGTTTTGTTCATCGCTTTATTCCCAGGGTCTAGGATACTTCCTTGTACACAGTAAATGCTCAATAAACAGTCATCAAGTAAATGGTTAAACTGGATTTGCCTTCTTACCAGCAAGGCTGCTGTGAGGGTTAAAAGGTTAACCAGCTTCCACGGCCACAACCCAAGTGGCAGAGAAATTTTTCTGTATAACTATTGGACAAGAGTGCCCACGACCTTCTTCAATGTCGTTTCAAATACCCGAGTCAGAACTTCTTACTCCCATACAGAATATTACTTATTCAACACCCCGAGATTTAACTGGTTTATACATGCATGACCCTTTTTACAAATGGTCCCACATGTAATAAAAAGGATAAAGAAAATTTTCATCTCATGAGGTGTATTTCTAACACAAAACAAAACCAAAGTTAATTATATGTGCTGTTTGTTATGTACTGTAACAGGGTTTATAAAACTACCCATTTGGGGCGTTTGGGTGGCTCAGTTGGTTTAGCATCTGACACTTGATTTCGGCTCAGGTCATGATCTCAGGGTCGTGGGACGGAGCCCCGCATCAGGCACTGCGCTGGGTGTGGAGTCTGCTTGAGAGTCTCTCTCTCCCTCTGCCTCTCTACCCCCCCACCCCCACATGATTTCTCTTGCTCTAAAAAAATAAAAAATACAAAATAAATAAAACCACCCATTTTTCAGGAGTTGCTCTACCAGAAGTAAACGAATAAGCAACTACTTTTCTTTTGCCGTGTACTAAACTATACTGCCTCACCAATTTTGTTTGTCTGTTTGTTGGCTTTTTGCATAACCAAATTTTAACCCCAGCTTCGCCATAACTAAATTTGTGCAGAATCATTTTGGCCTGTGTACAGGGCACAAAATCTCAAGTTATCTTTTAGAAAATCTCAAATAGATGAATGATTCACCTAATTCACTCAGTGAGAATTTATAAGGTGAGAGACAATTAATAAAGTGGTTTTTTCAGATTCGTTAGCAAGTAACCTCTAAGTGACAGAAAAGATCTACAGGTTATAAATGTGGGAAGGGAGGCGCAAATGAAGGGATATCAAATCTTTTCTTATTATTTTTTGCATATATACCATCCTGGGATCAAACTTACAAAACAGCTCAGAAAACCGGGAACCCCAGCAGTGGGATCCTGATGCAGAAGCTTCTCAAGAGCAGGCAAACATACCTCTGATGGCTGGTGGTGTGTGTGTAATAAGACATACTATGATCTGTTTTCTAGACACAATCAGTCTGCTCTATAACAAGATAAGGAGACACGAGAACCTCTGGGAAGGTTTACTGTCACTTATCCTCAAACAGAAAGACAAGGACATTTTAGACCCAAAGCTAGAACTTGGGGCAAGGGAAGGGGGCAGGATGCACACCACGTATCTCTTCCTCATTTGTGCAAAAGACTCAGCTACATAGGTAAGATTAAAAAAGAAAAGAAGAGGGTGGGGGGTGAGTGAAACAGGTCGAAGGAGACTAAGGGGACACTTATCGTAACAAATACCGAGTCATGTACAGAAGTGTTGAACCACCATATTGTACACCAGAAACTAATATAACTGGAATTAAAATTTAAAACTTAAAGAGAAAAATTAAAAAAAAGAAGTACAGAAATACAGAAAAAAAAAAAGATAGCCAAATGTATTTTGTTCTCCAAACTGAGAGTAAAACCTATTTGTTAAAAAGAATTCTCCCGATCTGTAATGAAGCCACCCAGTAGACCCTCAATGAAAAAAAAACACACGGCTGAAATAATCACTTCTCTTGAAGCTATTTTAGGATTTCCCATCTTTCCACACTGAAACTGAATTTCTAAATAAGTAGTATTGCTCCACTCTACCTTTGATCCATCTCCTTTTGAATTTCTTTATTTAATTCATCGACCTTCTGCTGCAGCTTTTTCCTTCTCTGCTCGGGTGGGAGGTTGCTGAAATCCTCTGGCGTGGCGCCCTGCAAATGCAAACAGGCATGAGCCGGCGCTCCTCCTTGAAGACAGACACCGAGTGAAGCCCGCAGGACACATTCCCCAGACACCAGGGGATGCAGATGTCTGCATGTGTTCTCATGAACTAAAGGGAATTTCTTTCCCACGACACCCAGCTGAGATGCAAGATCAATGCATGCAAACTGCAAAAAAGTCCCACACACCAGTCACCAGTTCGGGGTCCAGGCTTGCTGGCCAAACCACCTCCGCCAAGGCAAGGAGCAAGGCTGCAGGAGGAGGGAGGGGAAGAAAAAATTCTGCCCCCCCCCCCGCCGACGAGAATCGATGAAAAACAAATTCTGAGGCAGATTCTTCACTTGACCGTCAGTGCTGGTGGCAACACTGGAGTGTGAAGGAAGTTTGAGGTTTCTGCTCCCTCACACAACACAGGGACAAGTGCCCCCATCATCAACTGTCTCATGTCGAAGGCACTGTTTTACTCCCTACTCTGAGTCTTTCCACGTCGCCACACAGGCTGAGGCCAAAAGTTTCCATCCCCACCAAGTGACAGATGGGACGTCCGGTTCCTCAGAGAATGTGGTGGGGGGGAAGGACATTAAAACATCTATCCTCCCCTCTCTCCCCTCCACACCCCCCCCCTGCACTCTCCCCTCCACGGCCTCTCAAAATCTGGTCACTCCTTTTTGACATCTGTAGGGGTGACCTCAGCAAATCCACATAGAATGTGCTCCCCGACCTCCACACCAACTTCCCAGCGCCCGAAATCCAAGCCAGCTGTTTCCAATCCAGCAGAAGGAGCCTATTTTGATATCTTGATCCCCTTTCAGAAACAATTAGTAGCTTTCCTCGGTGCAGGCGATTTCAGTAGAACACATCAACAGCGAGCTTCCAGACTCCTGCAGATGCTTACGTGTCAGAAGCTGCGGCTAAAGCTGTTGGTGATCAAGTGCCTTTGCCTTTGCTTCAATGAAGCGATTTTCATAAAGAAAGAGAAATGTATTCAATCACCAGGGAGAAAGCCAAGGAATTTTAGGAGAGCTTTTACTTTTGAACCAATGAAACAGGCTGGCTTGGGAGCGTGGGTGGGAGAGAGGACCCGGGTAATGTAATTCCAAAACTGAGCTGAATTTGCCAAGCAGCTGACATGGTGCTTGTGACCGAGGTTCTTTGGCTGCTTAGGACAGAATGCCAGGGCTGTGCTGGGAGCGTGTGAGGCAGCAGAGTTTACCCGAAGGCCACGCACAGGCCTTTCCCCGCTGATGTTCTTAGACTCGTGCGTGCGTGTGTGCGCGTGCCCGTGCGTAAGAGAAAGAGAGGGGGAGATGAGTGGAACCAGAACAGAAGTGGCTAGTCCCTCATGGCAAGCCAAGCAAGCTCAGTTGCCTCTAAAGCTTAGATGAACCGAACTCATCTTCAGGATAGAAATAAATCAGGCTTGTTTTTTCTGTCCCCTGTGTGATTATCGCGTTGGGATACTTGGAGCCTGAATCTCGTGCTTTTCACTTCGCTCAGCTCCATCACCATGCCTGAAAGCACAATACCTTGTAATCATGCTGATTTTACTTAAATCACATCAGCATGTTTTCCAAAATTGAGGGGACTGTTCTGTTTTGTTTTTAGGTGCTGGAATGCAACAAAACAAAAGACGCGCTTCTTCAGAAGCCAGGAAATCCAGGGAGCGCTGTTAATTCATCAATAGTTCTCAAGCCTAACGACCGGGCTAGGAGCCCCAAAGAATTTTTTCTACAAAGAATGGAAAAGTTCTCATCTCTGCACTGGTGAATACGGTAGCTACACATGGCTACCGAGCATTTGAAACACGGCCAGTGCAACTGTGGAACTGAATTTTACGTTTTTATTGGATTTCAATTCACGAACATTTAAATAGGCACAGGTGATAGGTGGCTACCCTATGGGACACAGGTGTAGACTGTGAGCAGGTGTAAGGTTTGCAGTGTATAAACAGCACTTGTGACTTATTAACAGATACACTCTACAGCAAAAAATTTAACTTTAATTATTTAAGGGAACTAAAAACCATTAAGTAATAAATGAACGAATTAGGTCCCTTTCAATAGGTAGTCTGTGTTTCTGTATTGTTATTTAGAAACTAATCTCGTGAACTGTGCCTCAAACTTCGCATTGCCCTTGGAGATTCAGGTCACGGCTTCTTCTAGATCCAAAGGAGAGTCAGGTGTCTGGAAGTACCTTAAAAGGCCATTAAGGCTTGGATTATTTTAAACCATATTCTGACCTATGATTCGTTTTGCCACGAAGGAATTTATATTTCTAGCTTTGAGTCAGAGCAGACTTTCTGAAATCTTTGGAGCGGCCCAGTTTGGAAAGAGACTGGCCCCAGAGGTGGCGCTGGTTTTGCAAGAGGGGGTCAACGCGTATATGGACATTTTAAGTGGCTAAACCTCTAGGAAGACCTTGTTTTACACACAGAAGTGTGTAAACGCTTGCTTCTGAGCATCTCCCCCCAAGAGCACAAGCATGAGCTACTTCTTGAGAGTTTACAAGAAGGCAGGCAACGCTTCACTTTTTTACTGGCTTCCAAGTAATGGTATAAAGCAACAATTCAATACCAGGTGGTCAAATGATTTCTATCTCAGACAGAAAGACCGCCTAATTTATTAATACTATTATCTTTTGCTGCTAGCCCCTCAGCAAAAGAAGAAATACAGAAAGGGCAAGGAAGAAACCCCGGTACCTGAGAGACTCCTACTTAATTGATCCAGTTTCTCCCAAATTCATGCTGCCACCGAACACAGTTCACTGGAACATTGAGAATGTTTTCCTTCTCGTAGAGACCTTAATTAAGGACTCATCTGGGGATTTTATTTCACAGTCTAAGAAATGTTCCATTTAATAAAATATTCGTTTTCTCTAGGGTCGGGTTGGTTGCCAGACACTGAGTCAGGCTGAAAAAATTCTGGATACCCACACGTATATGTATCCATGTATACACATACAAATGTGTACATAAGGACAACCAGAAACTATTATCCTGCAACATCAACAGCAGTGCATAAAGTAGCTGACCTTATTCCTGGTTGAACTGTTGCAGCTTATCACTGTCCATAATTTTAGGACAGTGTGGTGTTGAGAACTTACACATATTTCAAGTAGAGTTAGGGGTTATAGAGTTAAGAGTTTCTTTTAATAAGTTTAATGATTAGTCTGTTTACTAGGGCTATGCAATTAGGTAGGAACAACACAGAACACTAAGTAAACTATTTTAGAAAGGCTTAGGAGGCTCTTTTCACTGTCCATAAAGTCGTCTTGTGATTTCTTAAATCAGCTATGCACAAGGCACCCACGTATTTATGTAGCAACTTCAAGATTCCATTGGTTGCGATTCTCGCAGGCTGCCTTGGACCTGAGTTTGAGACTGGCACCATTCCTGCACGTCTCCTTCAGGCTCTCTGTGTTTTTCATCTGCTTCTGTGGCTCCCAGGGAGGAGCATCTTTAGCTGTTAAATTTACTTTTATTCCAAATGATCCAATAAATAAACTCCCCAATATCGAATATTTATATTTATGCTCACATTTAAATAAAGTTTGTTAACATCTGTCCTCCTCTTAAGGCCCCAATAAGAAAGGAAACCAAATCATGAGTTAAGCGTTAATTTTCTTAGCAACTTGAAAAGATTAAGATCGCCCCTCGTAGATTCTGGACCTTTGGATTGCAAAGGTCTGACGAAGAAACACCAACAAAAGCACACGCAAGAGAAACGTACACCAAAAAACCTGATTAGATTCGGGACATGCATAGAATAATGGTGCTTACCAGCTTGAGAGAAAGCTTCACGTAAAAATTGAAGAGGTAACGGGAAAAAAAGAGAGAGAGAGACAACACATCAGAAGAAGAGGAATTTGGTCAGTTGCATCGTATTAACATAACACATAAATTCACCTGTCGCTTGTGAAAATGACTTGCAGCGGATCTGTGCAAACGTTCACAAGAGGGGCTGGCCCCTGCCAAAACCTTCCTTTAGCTGCCACGTTGCCAGACCAAAGAATAAAGATAGAAAAGGAGAGTTTCTGTTCGCAGTTCTGCGTGGATCCCATCAGCCTGGATATAAGCTAAAATAAGTTTGCAGGTGGTGACACATGCTGATAATAAAAGACAAAAAGAATCACATCGCCTTTTGTTCACCACATTTCACATGGAGAGTTTTACTTATAGGGGGCGTCTCAAGAGCAATTACTTCCACAACGTACAGGTAATGTATTTATCTTAAGGAATTCTTATAAATGCGAACACTGGCATTTCTCGAAGGCATGAAGGCAAACTCTTGAATGGGTGAACGGTAACTAGGGGCTGGAAGTTGCTCTAGCAGGATCCCGAAAGCCTCTCTGCACCAGGCTGGAGGCAGGACGACGCTCTGGCACCGCTAACCATGCCCCGGAACGGTGGGAGGTGTATTCCGGGGCTCTCCATCCACTCTGAGCCCTACCCATGGGGCTTACACAGCACTTGGGGAACTAACAGGGGTAGCTGCCCTGAAAGTTACTGTTAGGAAACAGAGAGCCAATGATCTCAACTACCCGGGGGCACTCCTTGCTATGGGTTTCCTGACAATTATCAGGAGACAGCTGGTGCAATTTTGCTGCGCCTGGAGATTAGCGAAGGTAGAGCGATTACTGGGCACAAAATAGATTAAAAGCCATCTCCAAATTGGAAAAAAAGAAACATGTGGCTCTTCGTTAACAGGTGAGACATGCTCTATGGCTGGAAAGCAGTGTTTTGAGAGCGCGGTGCATTTTTACTTAGCTGTCGTCAATCCTAAAAGTTTAGGCAGCTGCAGCAGGATCAAAAATATGTTGGAGACAAAGTACCAAAGAAAGCGCCCTCTGATTTTAAATCGAGAGTGCAGGGTGTTAAAAATTCCTTAACCAGATTTTAAAAATCTTATTCTTAAGATGAACTCAAAATGGACACTTCTTTTTAAAGAGGCATTAAGCTTTTAAAGAAATCACCCCTATGGGGAAAAAGACT